ACCACACTTTTAGCAAAGAAAAACATGAACAATTTCAACCATCCCCAGGCTGATCAAGATGACAGTGTTTTCCCCAGAATATCTTAAAATATCACTGTCACATCTATTGAATGTCATGCTTTGGAAATCCATTCAATTTTACCACACAAAAAGCATTTTTGACAATGAGATCATTAACGATAAACATAAAAACAAACACACACACACAAGTTCAGAAACTTTAAGAAGTTTCTACAGTCACATGACTGGATTTCTGCCTTCTAGCATATCATCACACATTTGCTGCTGTTGACGTGGGATACGGGGAAAGGTTAGAGACAGGTTTCATAGTAGTGCTGGGCGGTATACCGGTTCATACCGAATACCGGTGTTTAATTATGTTATGATATGACTTTTTTAAATACCGCAATACCGGTGTATGTCGCTTAAACAACGTTCGGAACGCGACACTGTTTGAAAGGGGTCTCTTTTCACTGTTGCACTGTGGTGAGGGAACAGCTGTATGTGTTACCAAGCGTGAAAGTTCCGAAACTGAAGCTGTAGAACTAATAGAACGTGATGACACAGAAGAACTCATCCACAATATCCACACTGACCGCCACAAATATCCAGCGCCCCCTGCCATCAGCTCCCGCGTCTCACACACACGAGCGCAACTTTAGCACTAGATTGAGCAACTTTCAGACCCTTTTAGCAGCTTTTTTCAATAGAATATTCATACTGACAAACCTAGCGACATTTTTGGTTAAACCTTAGCTATGGTTCAGTTGGAAGATTTCGCCAGTGCTGTCCCGTGAACGTGAGGTCTGACTTTCCCAGAGAAGTGTCACCTCTGTTCTGTGCAGTGAGCAGCAGAGAAGCCGACTCGTCAATAAATGAGTACAAAACAGCATTTCTTAGCACCTGTCTGGAATTATAAATATGAGCGTAGTTTGTCTGTTAATATCCCATGCACTTTTTTTTTTTTTTTAGTTTGTTACTCAGACGCAGGCAGTGATATAAAAAGTAATCAGAGACAAAAAGGTAATATAGTTAAAACAACCGCATAGCCGCTCTTTAGTGTAGATGCATGTTGATTTTATCAGACGATGCCGCAATTATAAATGAGAGTGACTCCAGGTTAACATTAAAAGGGGGCGTGTTTAGTCACTATTTAGTGTGGTATTTTTTGACAATATTCACTCATCATTACAGTAAAATAAGGCATTCTAAGTCAATATACTGCAGTATTTCCTCTCAATCAGTAGAAAATATGGTTAACACCCGGTCATGCATGAAAAAAAAATTCCGTCATGGACCGTGAAACCGGTATAATTTTGAAAAATACCGTGATATAAATTTTTCATTTCATAGTATGTTTAGGTGTTGGATCAACGTTGTAAATTTATGTAATTACAGAAATTAATAACAAATTTAATTATATACAGGTAGTTTTTAAATATATGTACAATGTAAAACACTTATGTACAAAATATGTGCATTGTATCAAATGATTCGTATGTTAACAGCACTATTTTAAATGAGTTTGTGTTAATGTGTCATTAACTTCGTCAGCCCTAAGTTCTACACAAGAGACATTTTCTTCAGACACAAGTTGCAGTCTGACACGTTTTTCCTCCCCTTTTTGACTGACAGGATATAATCAACCCTGATCATCAGCTGTTTTTAATCAGCTGATATCCAAAAAAAATGTTTAATAAAATTTTCTGAAACCGATTACTGGCCGATACATCGGTGCATCCCTAACTATTTTCATATTTTTATTGTGCTTTTGCCTCATTTAAGTCATTTAGAGGTTTTGTAACTCAATTATCTCAGTAGTTTGAGAACTTTTCTTTTTTTTTTGGATGCTTCTGAAGTTTTAAAAAAGAATGTAAGGCACCCAGCTGTCCTTCAACAAGTGTGGGCGTAGAAAGGGAGGACCGAAACATAACTTGTAAGTGTTAAATTATTCACTCCAGTTTCTGCAGAACATTCCATGAATATACTCCAAATCAGCAAAGGTTTTAAAGACTTGACATTCAACTTTTACTGTCTGTTCATGCATGGTCACATGGAAGAAAGTGTGAGAATTGGAAAACCTGTATATAAAAAAAAATTTTCAAGAGCACAAGCAAAAAATTAAAAATGATAAAGATCTAAAGCTAACACTAGCATAAGAGGCAAAGTACATAAAGCATCTTAGTAAAAATAAATTAAGCACACCTGGTAGGTAGGCTAGTCTTCTCTGGAAAAAAATACATTTAATTCAACTGACTCTCGAGAGCACAAAGAAAGACAAAAAATAAAAAAGCAGCACTGAGAGTAAAGAGAAGCCTACACACGAACCACTATAAACCTTTAAAGCCTTAGGGCATTTCATTCAACAGAGAACGGATGCTCTTGTTCTTTTTTCTGCATGTTTGCAATGTAGTAGTACAGTTTACACTTCCATACCACAATGTGCTCAAAGGCTATTCAAATTGTCATATGGCATTGCAGTTAAAGACTGGTAACTGAATGTTGTTGGTTCAAACCCTGCACAGTTGATCCATTAACTGACACCTTTGTGCCCTTAAGCAAGTTATAATTCCAGGATACCCGCTCAATAAGTGTACTGTCAGATTAATGACAAATGAATGTGTCCCTTAAATGAAGTAATATATAAGGGACTCACCACCAGAACGAAAAATTGTAACATTAATTATAAAGTAAAGCTATGATTATTTTTAAGTAGTTTGAGAGGCAAAAACATAATATTTTACAGAGTTCTTAGGTCTTAGATGCCAAGTCAAATTCACGGGTTATGCCAGAAAAATTTGCCTGTGCAAAAATCTAAAATAGACATTTTATTACTTTAGGGACAAATGAACCAAGTATATAAGTGAACTATATTTGTTCCCCCTATGAATCATATTTAAAGCATGTACCAACCTTTTAAGACCCACTGATACGAATGCTTTTTATTTGATTTCAACAAAATAATTATTCCTTGAAAGAGATTGTTTATGCTTGGGACATCAGAAACACTTATTTCCATATTTCTGAACTGATCTCATGAGAAAATATGACTATTTTATGAGTTGGTGGTGATTCATACAAAAAAATTATTAGAAGTTTTTAGAATTTTTTGGAATTTTTTTTTCATTCCACACAGATACCAAATAGACCCTAACAGACATAATAATGATAGTAGCCTAATAATAACAATAGTAGTAGTAGTAGCAGTTGTAGTAAACGTTATGGAATTTGACTATAACTGCCTCTTACCAAAAAGTAGTATACTTCAAGTTTATTTTAGTATGTATACTTAAGTAAAGTTAAATTATATTTTTAAGTATACTTTATGTAGTAAGTATACAAATAACAGTGTACTAGTAGTATATTTGTAAGTGTACTATTTCAATACTCATTGGGACTAAATTGGCCCACTTTCTAGTATATAAAAGTATACTTTAAGTATAACAGTAGTAAACTTTGAGTACACAACTAGTTTACATCGTAATGTTTAGTTTGTACTGCAACTACACTAAAAGTGAACTTACAGGTTTACTGATAGTTTACTAATTAAATACTTGTAGTAGCATGTTTAGTACACTTTGAAGTATAGTCTCAGTAAACTACTAGTTTAGTAGTTTTATACTGCAAGAATACTCGTAAGTTTTCTTTAAGTGAACTTTACATCATACTTGAAGTATACTACTATGTCCCTATTTAGGTATTACTTTGTATATATTTTGTTACATGAATATCTGAACATACAAAACATCAAAAAACAGGGTATCTGCTTGTAAACAAAAACATTTTATTCTAGCTTCACACATTCTTTTTTAAACACTTGAATGTGGATAAGTTTCATAAATAAAAAATAAAGAAATAAACAACATTTTGAACAAAAAGCTGAAAAAAGACTATGAATTGGATTCAGAACGATAATCAAAACATAGATGGAGTCGATCAACACCCCAAAGCTTGACAGTCAGTATTACCTCTTCATTGGTCGACATTTTATTCCATAATGTTACACAGTTTTGATGCTGTTTTATATCTGATGATCGTGTTAGATTACATGTGGGAGCATCTGTTGTTTCGGTTTCTTCTTCTCTTGTGTTTTTCGGAAATTCTGTACAGAAAATGTGTACTAGCGCCCCCTACAGTATAACAATGAAAACACGGATTCTAGGAACACAGTTATAGCTCAAATATATTTAGACTTAAGTATAAGTCAAGTATACTTAAATGTCATTTTAAGTATATTTCTGAGAAGTACATAAAAAGTAGACTAAAAGTATACTTTCCTATTTTTAGTTTAAAAGAAGTATACTAATAGCACACTTGAATAAACTTCTTTTTCGTAAGGGGATGCAAGGACAGGTGGTCCAATTCACATTTGACTCTTACATTATCATGACCCTTGTATTAATCTTTCCTTCCATTGATTACACCTGTACACATACCATGGCCGGAACTCGATTTGAATTCACACAAGACAGTGTTCCGATTTGAATTTGACTGGCATTCACACTTGGACAAATGTTTAATTCCAATTTGTAATTCACTGCTATACATGAGCAAGTTCTTCAACACTGAAGAATAGTCCTTTATTTGTCAATCATTTAATCTGATGGCAGGGTCTAATTATCTTCTAGAAGTTAAAAAAAAAAGGATGAATGGTTTGACAAATCTGTCTTCAACAATCTCAAGAACTGTGGGAGTAGAATACTCCCACATAACATGCGTGTATAACAATCAAAAACGGGAAATAGCAACCGCGGGATGTTATTTTCATAAATGCATTTATTTTTCTGCCACACGAGTTTCTTTAAAAATAAAAGTTTGTTTTGTTTGTGCTTGAACATTGTTGACACACTAATCTTGGTTTCACCGAAAGTACAGATAAACAAAAGTAGGCTACACGTCCTAGTTTCTTACAAAGGGTAACTAGACGGAGAGAGACCATTTATATTTTAAATTTTCAAAGCAGAATATCCATATTATGCAGAAACAAGTCCTAAACTCACCTCTCATCCAGTCAACAACCTGTTTTGGTGTCCACCTCGTTACTGGATCCATTGCTTTAAAACCTCAGTCCAACCGGTTAGAGCTATTCTCAACGGAGATTAAGAATAAAGTAATAATAAAGTACGTCAAGCACCATGTGATCGGCACTGTGAAACAATATAATTCTTTCAGTCTGTCCTCTAGAAATCCTGAAATAATCGGCTCGCGAGATATCTCCATATACAGCCGATTCTCTCACATGGACTTGGACTGAGCCAACAGGATAAACTCACGAGGAGGAGAAGAGTTCATCTCTAGGCACATGTATCAAATTTCAGTGTGTGTTCCTCCCCTCAAACCAACGGAGGAGGATCAACGAGGAGTTCTGCTGCTGCCGAGCTCCGAGCCGCTATGGGATTACAATTCTGCCACAATTCTGCTCGCGAAAGATCATATTTTGAGGTTGCAAAAGTGCGTTTTGCACGCGCGCGAACTGAGTTTTGTGGAGAAAATGTTTGTCTCGCAAAGAAGAGAGTATTTCTAAATAAGAAAATTAAAGAAAAAATAACATTATAAGAAAAAAAAAAATCAAAATTTCAACTTGCATAATAATTATGCATGCACTGTATTTTTCCTCTTCTGCTGTCTAATGCAAGAAATGTTGTGATTGGTTGTCAAGGCAGCCAATCAGAATTTAGCAGCCTCGATTGGATGGAATTGTGGCACATTGTAAGGCTAGGTTGTGTTGAGCAAGCAAGCTGTTGGCATTTAGGGAGCACTGAGGGCGTGCCTCTGCACACATCCAAAAACTTATTTTAAATGCAAAATTGATTTTCGTGCGCTCTAAATACTTTCTTCTTTGCGAGACAAACATTTTCTCCAACAAAACTCAGTTCGCGCAAGTGCAAAACGCACTTTTGCGTGCTCAACATATGATCTTTCTCTCGCAGAATTGTGTCAGAATTGTAATCCCATAAGCCACCTACTGTTATTACTTCAGTCTCCTCTCCAGAGCTTGCGTTTGTAACCGTTCAGTTAATCATTAGCTTTCAAATTAGGAAGGCCCATATGACATCATTATTGGAGCAAAGGAATTTATTTGGGAGATTCCTTTGTAAAGTACCAGACTTATTCACAATTTTGAATATTTTACTTTCTTTAAAGCAGTAGAACACAGTTGATCAAGATTAAACAAACAAACAAATGGACACTTATTAAATGTTTGTGGGGGAACTGCTTTTTTATTTATTTATTTTTTATTCCTAATAATTAGATTATTTATTGGATTAATTTAGTCCAACTTTACAGTAGCCTATTTTAGGTGTCTTTGACTATGTGGTAATGTCGACAAAAAAAATCTAAATAATAATTGTTTGATACATATTGTGTTCAAGTTGCAGAACACTTTTCTGCTTTTGAAGTGGGATAGGGGTAAGTTTAAGGACAGGTTTCATAGAAGTGTTGTTTAAGATGTAGGGTCAACAGTGTAATTTGATGTAATTACAGAAAGGAATTACAAATGTAATTACGTACAGGATTTTATTTGAATAATACATCATTGCAATGTAAAAACGTGTGTCCACGATAAATGCATTGCATCAAATGATTAATTTAAATGTACACAGTGGTTGAAGACACTTAATATAAAGTGGGTCGAAACGAATTACAATGAATTATTTTGATGTTATTTCTTAACATCAACTTATTACTTAGTTAAAATTGGTAACACTTTACTATAAGGTTCCATTAGTTAATGTTAGTTAATGTATTAACTAACATGAACAAACAATGAACAATACATGTAGTACAGTATTTATTAATCTTTGTTAATGTTAGTTAATGAACATACACATACACAAAAATGCTGGGTTAAATACAACCCAGTGCTGAGTAAAATAATTTAATTTAATTGTTTAACCCAACCTTCTGGGTATTAATCCAACCGCTGGGTCAAAACAGCCCAATTGCTGGGTTTGTCCCTATTTAACCCAGCATTTTTTTAGAGTGTACAATTTTTCATTGTTAGTTCATTTTAATTCACAGTGCATTAACTAATGTTAACAAGCACAAATTTAGATTTTAATAATGCATTAGTAAATGCTGGAATTAACATTAACTTACTAAATGTAGAAGTACTGTTCATTCTTAGTTCATATTAACTAAAGTAATTAACTAATGTTAACTAATGAACCTTATTGTAAAGTGTTACCATTTTTTTAATTAGTAAAATAAGTAATTAAAAAAATGGCTCAGAAAAGTACAGTTAGGTCTGAAAAAAAAGCTCTAGCATCAAGGGTTTTAAGATGCCCCTTTTATATATTGGTGTTTAATGCAAAGAAATTCATATATTTTAAGTGTGGCGAAAGTATTCAAAGCCTTTGGACTACTCACTGATTTTTATCATGTTAACTGTAACAGGCCTACAGTACATGTGCAATAACATATGATTCATACCATCAAATGTTGGCTGCTTAACTCATGATAATCTATTAGACAAACTGTTGAATAGAGCTACTTTTTGATTTCAGTTTGATTTCAAGATTCCAGTTTTATGATGTCTGGCCAAACTTGTGTTGTTACTGTTAACTAAAACATTTTTGTTAATTAAAATAAAGCTGAAATAAAATATATGAAATTAAAAGAAAACCTTAGGCTTAAAAAACTTAAACAGTAATGTGCAATGTTGCCTTGGCGACAAACTGATAAAAGAACTACTAAAACTGCCAGAATTACTAAAACTAAAACTGAAATATATATACACACACACACACACACACACACAAAATCTAATAAGCACATCAAAATTGACTAAAACCGAAAATAAAAATTGTACAGCTAATTAAAACTATGAATACTATATGAATAATACTAAAATAACACTGGACTAAACATTGCCAACAATGTAGACTTGTGGTAGTACAGTACTATACAATGTAAACTGATAATTGTACCACACTGCATTGACTATATTTTCGAAATGAATACCATAACTACATCCAGTGCATGGAAAACCCATATTACTAAATGAGGTCGCAATAAATCCGGGGACTTTGACACTGGAATTAATGGAAGTATCTTGATCATGTGGTGTGTAAGCTCTTGTGCCTGGGAACAGATCCAGTGCGGATGAAAGCAGTCTAGGATACAGGCAAACATAGACATTAAGAGCTTCCTGCCTACACTGTAAAAAATGATTGTAATTTTAACAGTAAAAGTACAATTCTACAGTAAAAAGTACAATTCTACAGTAAAAACCTGTTAACTGGTTAACAGTAAGTTTCCATACTATATTCGGTGAATAAATGTAATTACATTTAATGTAATTTTACAGTAAAATACTGTTAAAAATAGGGATTTTGGAAGTGAAAAAGAAAATGTCATTGTATAATTTACAGTGAAAAACCGTAAATTGACACTCCCAGAATTCCCTGCATGACACTTCATATTTGAAGTTTTTTTTGTTGAATTAACATGTTTCTTCTTAGTTTTTTCTTATCATTTGTGTACATTAGGGTTTAATCTTACACCTAATGTTGTTAAATTAATGTTTATTGCATTATTTCAGTATCATGTGTGTCACCATGATGGGGTTTAGTGTTTGTGTGAATGACACTGTGCACCTTCTATATATAAATATTGCCCTCAGCTCATAGAAAAGCTGTTTATGATGAGCTTTGGTTCATCATGTGACTTTCTCATCACCACCAGTTTCTGGTGGTTATCAGTGCATTACAATGGTTCAAAACAGATATTAACACTTCAATATGTTGGTTTATTAACATTACATGAGTTAATGAAATACGGTATTTTATTGTGAATTTAAGTTAAGTCTGTAAAACCTAAAATGTTGCTACCATATTTTTTACGATGAAGTTCTGGCAACCACAGCTGCCGGTATTTTACCGTAAATGTCACTTTTTTTTTTTTTACAGTGTATATGCATTTTCAGATGGAGAACCTACAACATAGATCAGAACTAACTTGATTTCTAACTTGAATCAACTTGATTTAGTAAACAATATACTATACACACACACACACACACACACACACACACACATATATATATACATACTTTCCGTACCCACTGTATATATATATATATATATATAACTAAACAAACACTCAGAAGGTTGGTTTTATCACTGATTTGTAAACTGTTTATTAGCTGTTTCACACTGTAAAAGTTTCAAACATTAAAAGTATATTGTTTAAAGTTACATTAAAAGTTTTCAGATCCCACTGGTAAGTGAGAAACACATGACAATAGCAGCAGCTTTTAGAATCACACTGTCACAAATCAAGCCTCCGTGGCTCCCTCCGATCCCCACCAGAGGAAACCCTCACCGGAGTACTAACTGTTCCTTAGGACTTCATTTCCCATCACCCCATGCCTGACATTGATTACTTGCACAGGTGCTGATCATTACCATGACTATATAGGCAGTGCCTACCTTACCCTCATTGCGAAGTCTTGTTTTTGCTACTGCTGACATTACTGAGCGTTCATACCTTGTTTGATTACCTGTTGCCTACCTGGATTGTTTAGACCTGTCTGATTGTTCGCTGCCCGCCTCTTTGACCTTGCTCTGTGTTTGGATTTACTCTCTCCTCTGTCTGCCGCCGGCCTCGACCCCTTTGCATGGACTCTGGTTATGATTCTGCCTTGCCTACGTTACTCCTGTATGCTGTTGACTGAACTCTGCCTGTCTGATTGTTAATAAAGCTGCACATGGATCCCAACGTCAATGAATCATCATTACACACACAGACATCATGAAACAGTATGATTCCTCACACATGTTTGTTGATTCATAAAAGAGTTTACATTTAAAGACAAAACGGCTACAAAGTATAAGGCTACTATAAATTCTATTATTAATATAACAAGCAAAAAAAAAAAAGATATATTGAGTACCAACATTCATTTTGTAAGTATTTAGTTTAGCCAGAGGATATAAAGAAAACACTGTCGCTGACACACAGTGAACCCTGTATACCGAGTCTGATTCTGGATCCCTTAAATGTCTTCTGAATTTTAACAGTCCACAGACAGTCCACAGTACAGCTCCAGTTGTGAGAAAAATTGATTGTGTGATAAAAATTGTTTAAAAAATTAAACTGGCTAAACGGGAATGTCAAAAGAACCATAATCTCCTGCGCTTGTCAGTATGAGAAATGAGATATATGAATGATGGGAGATTTTGGAGCATTAGGAGCCTTCAGCGATAGGGTTCTGACTCTTCTTGTTGAGGTACTCAAGAACAAAGACCTGCAGGATCTTGTTGAGGTTGCTGATGGAGATTCGATCCAGGTTCTCCTCGTTGTCGTCAAAGGTGTGCCACACCTCGGGAAAAGGAGTCGAAATGAGATGGAGAATCCGGACCCCTAGGAATACAGAGAAATACATACGTAAGTCTTAAATGCTTTTTATATGAACATTCATAAATCTCAGAAAGGGTCTTTTACCTTGGTTGAGAAATGGTACATGGTCATCCAGAATTAGACCCACATGCAGGCCAGGCCAGAAGTACTGAACCTCATTAGGGTGATTCTTAAGGTGACCGAGCGCATGCAGCCGGCGCTCTAGATAAGAGTAAAGAGAGATTTCTTTGAAGCCTGACAAAAATATTATTAATCCATAATGTTTTAAAATGTACTTTTAGGTAACTTTTAATTTGGCAGTTTTTTAAATATATGTGACCCTGGACCACAAAACCAGTCATAAGGGTCATTTTATTAAAATTGAGATTTATACATCATCTATAAGCAATAAATAAGCTTTCCATTGATGTATGGTTTATAAGGATAGGACAATATTTGGCCGAGATACAACTATTTGAAAATCTGGAATCTGAGAAAATCGCCTTTAATGTTGTCCAAATGAAGTTCTTAGCGATGCATATTACTAATCAAAAATTAAGTTTTCTATATTTATGGTAGGACATTTACAAAAGATCTTCATGGAACATGATCTTTACTTAATATCCTAATGATTTTTGGCATAAAAGAAAAATCAATAATTTTGACGCATACAATGTTTTTTCGCTAAAAATATACCCCAGCGACTTAAGACTGGTTTTGTGCTCCAGGGTCACATAAATATATATTTTTTAAAGATTTGAAGTATGCAAGTTTATATTCATTATAATTAAGAATTCTTGTTTTTCACAAGGGAAGCAAAAATAAATGAATATTTATTTATTATTAAAAGTAATATCATGCGTAAAATATACAGTACGTTACTCAGTATTAATGTCTTCTTTATTGAACTGTTGTATAAAAGCACACAGAATCACACAGCTATCAAACATTTCCTGTAGTATATTAGTTCAGTCGTCTTTGAATTGAGATTTCTTGAATTGAGAATGTAATATTTTTTTAGGATTCTTCATTACCATTAAATTAGTTTCCCTCGTTAATCAGGATTTATCTCTAACTCCTAAATGAGCGGTGCAGAATGGAAGCCGCTCGCATATTAAATTTTTTTTAACTAAAAAAACCTGTTGTTTTTGCATCTACTCCACTAGGTATCAGTATAAGATCAAGACGGTTGCTATATTGACCAGCAAAACATAAACAAAAACACTACTGAATGCACCTTTAACCTTTATAAAAAAATAATAAATGAAGTATTCTAAAGCAATAAGCCCCAAGAAGCTGTGGTTTACAGTGAATTTATAACAGCTAAGGGGCTTTTCGCGTCGTGCCTAACAACACCCCTTAGCTATTATAAATTAACTGTAAACCATGGCTTCCCGGGGCTTATTGCTTTTATAAAACGGTTATTCCATATACGTAGTAAGGTTTCACAGAATAAAACAGAGCAAATCAAGTGTAATGATATACACTGATATGCCACACCTGTGAGGTGGATGGATTATTTCGGCAAAGGAGAAGTGCTCACTAACACAGATTTAGACAAATTTGTGAACAATATTTGAGAGAAATAGGCCTTTTGTGTACATAGAAAAAGTCTTAGATCTTTGAGTTCAGCTCATGAAAAATGGGGGCAAAAACAAGAGTTGCGTTTATAATTTTGTTCAGTGTAAATAAAAACAGTATTCTTCCACCAAACAATGTAGTTCCTCAGAAACAGTTGTGGTTCCAACAAAGTGGTTGCCGAGCAACACACAGAATTAAACAAAGGTGTATGTTTGTAGAGTAATTTACAACAGCTTCGAACGCGGCTCAACCAATCAGAATCAAGGACCGGGAACTATCCGTTTTATAATAAATGAATTGATGTTGAAAGGAAAAACACTTATTTTGATGTGTTGACTGACATACTAAATCATAAAAGCATAAACATAATATATGTATTTACTGTCACTTTTGATCCATTTAATGCATCCTTGCTGAATGGAAGTCAATCTTTCTTTCTTTCAATCTTACTTACTCCAAATGTTTGAATGGTAGTGTATCACAGTCTCCACAAACCTTGACCTGTAATGTTTTGTCATCCATAACAAAACCCACATACATTTCTTTGAAGGTAAGAAAGAGAAACCAGAGGGGAAAAAAGATGTGGCACAAGAAAACAGAGCAGAAAAATACTAACCAATCTTTTGTAGTCTGGAAAGCCATCGGGTCGTACTGGAGAACTGATTACCAAAGCGAGGATTTGGACCTCCAATCAAGTCCAGTAGAACAAACAAATCCTGGTGAAAAATTGAATGAATGAAAGACTTTAACCAGTTTTGTAGTTTGTCAATGTTTGCTTGCATTCATGCTCTTTAACCTTACATTCACAATACACGCTCAGAAAAAAGGTACAAAAGCTGTCACTGTGGCAGTACCCTTTCAAATGGTACTAATAGATACAAGTATGTACCTTTAAGGTACCAGTATGCACAATTTGAGTGTAAACAAGGTACAAAAGTGTACCATTTTAAAAAGGTACCACCCCAGTGACAGCTTTTGTACCTTTTTCCTGAGAGTGTATGTGATTGTCCATTTGCATATACAACATAATTCATTACTCTATGTTCATGGTTAATGATGCATTTGCATCTAAAATATATCTGCTGATAGCGCAGAAGGAAGATAGCTGTGTAGGAGAAACCAAGAGGAATCTTTCGTCAGTGAAAAATCTCATGAGGAAGTACAAATGTAATCTGAGAGCTACAGCAGAAGGAAAGCCTATCAGTGAATAACAAATTAAATATGAGTGTTTTCCTCGCACAAAGTTCCAGAAATATTATAACACAGCACATAAGTCATATGGGCCACTTTAACAGTACCTGGGCCAGGCTATTTATCAAATTATCTCATTTTGTTTTTCCAAGTAAGAAAGTAAGTATACAGATTTGGAACAACTTAAGGATGAGTAAATTAATAAGAATAGACTAAATAGAAAACATTTTTCTAACAGTAAGTATGATGCAGTAAGTTATTTTTAGATTAATCTGGCTGTATGTCAATGTATTCATGTCTGTGAGGGAACTATACAATGCCGTCGAGCTGGCTGGTGTTGGTGGCTTCCGGTGGATGTGCTGTTGTGGACATTTTGTGGGCTAAATGACGGGAGCCGTACAGAGAGTCTTCAGAGGTCCACTGGTAAAGTGCCTCTTCTCCATCAAAGAAGAAGAGCTGCAGAGACAGATCTGACCCAGAGTCCTGTGAGAAACAGCAAAACACACACATGCTGCCATCTACCTGTGACACTACAGAATACAGCACAAATAATGTCACTTATTTCATAAACGCAAAATTAATCTCATGATTGGCACAAATTAAAGTTCAGCTACCAACTGAAAAAGAGAGATTGGTAAATGTATAACTCACTGGAGTTATATGTGTGACTCACTGGACTCGTACCAGAGAGCTCCACATCGCTGTAGCGGGTGAGCTACCGTGCATGTTTTTTTTCCAATGAGCCTAACTAATGAGTCCTTAGTTTACTTTACTCATCAATATCTCTTTAATTTCATATGCCAAACATAAAAAAAAACATAAAAAATAAATACTGTGAAAACAGTCGCACAGCCAAAGCAAAGCACATCTGCCGAAAATATTACAAAATAACAACATATGAAAGAAAAAATCTCAATCAACTAGTTGTTCAATCATGATGACCCAGCCCTAGCTCCTGTGCACACTGCCAAACCTTCAAGGTCTTTAGGTCATCATCTTGGGCTCTTGCCAGTTCCAGAATCATAGAGCAGGGAACAGCAGAATCTGTTGCTCCGAGAAACTCACGGCCATCCCACTGTGGAGGGTAGTATTTGGAGTCAAAGTGGCAGGCCAGAACCAACTGACGTTTGGCCGCAGGGTTGAGAGTTGCAATTATGTTGGTAAAGGGAAGCTGGCTGTAAGGCGTATGAGCATAGAAGGCATCCTCCGTCACTTCCCACCCCGTGTTCATTGAGCCGAGAGTTGATTTAATATGCTAAAGAGAGAGAAATTCAGACACTGAACAGACTGTGACATTTAAAAGTTAGCTTTCATACACAAACACACACTGACCTGCTGAACGTGTTGGCTTCCAGTTGAACCAGGATAGCGCACAACAAGCATGGGCTTCAGGTCCTTCTGCCACATCCGGTCCAGATCGGTTCGAGATACCACACTACTCAGTTCACTGGAGCTCAGTGTGGTTGCTTCATGTTTCAGCTGAAGTGAAAATGAATAAAAATCTTTATTCATTCATTTATTCCACAGTGGGGTATTCATAACTTTGGGTCACATGTTAACATGCTCCTGGGGTCATTGACAAGACCAAGACCATGTCCACGTCCAAGAATATGGTCCACATTTTCATAGTCTTGGTCTTGTCTTAACTAGGACTCAACCTTCTTCTGGTCTCACAACTGAGCTGGTCTCAACTACAACACTGCTTTTGCATATGTTTGTGTGCATTTACGGTATTCTATTATCGTCCCTCTCTTTTACTACTAAGTAATTGTTAGTCTCTTCAATTGCTGTTATTAATCAGACTGATGGATCAATCAGATTGAAAAGCCTTAATGTAAACACCTCAATCAATCAAACTGAGCTCGATCAAAATGAAATTCTGATCAAATTGAAAGGAGTGGTGTAGAAATAATCCTGGGTGGATTAAAAAACTGGGTGGATCTTTACACGACACCGTTTTCAACTAAAACGGAAAACTTTTTATGCGACTTTGGCCGTTCATTTATAAGACAACAGCATTTTGAGGGCCTGAAAACGCAAACTTTTCAAAAAGAATTGTTTTCAAAAACATTGTTTTCATGTAAACGTACCATTAGTATGTAAACGTTTGTATCTTCTCACTTCTCAGCCATATTCAAATATACCTTGCCCACATGCACAATGCCTCGATGCATGTTTAGCAGAGCCTTTTTATAATAAGATCTTATGAAAATGCATTGGTTTATTAATGTCTTGCAAACTTGTCATCGGACAAGGCTGAATATTTACTGAATATATGAAAAAAAACACCTTTTCTGACGTATTTCTGATGTTTCCTTAAAAGTATGTAATTAAGGCAAAAATGACAACTGTACGATTATGAGCATGTGGCACTTTAAGCATTATCGTATCGCATATCGAATATCACATTATTTAATGAGTTATTGCATATTACATTTTTCTTCAATATCGCACAGCCCTAATGTGAATCGGATTGCAAAGTTTAGGGTTCATATAAATATACATTTCTGAATCTGAAACTGAATTGTATTCATTCGGATTGACAAAAATGAGTGCATGTAAACTTATCTATTGTTGTTCCAAATTTCCGCACAGCTCTGATTTGTCTGCAAGTAATTACAGTTATAACTGTGTGCATGATTGTAAGCTTGATATTGCTTCAATATAACACTTCAGTAAACATAAAGGTAAGTACAATACACAAAAGACCATTTGTTTTGTGTATTTCTGTTTTGTTATAATAGTTCCAGACCAGAATAAACCATTGCATCCCTGAGAATTAGTGTTCCGAACAAATCGGCTGAGTATATCATTCAATGACTCAATCACATACTCAATTCCCAACACCTAATGGCTAAAAAATCCCCACTACTAATTCACAGACTGAAGTGATACAAACAGTGAAAAGTCCGCACTCTTATGACATTGCTCTCCCAAACAAATTTGACATTAACATCATATACAACTGGGATGGCAGATATGTTAAGTAATGAGGGCATTTACATTTTTGGGCTGACTACCCCTTTAAGATGGCTGAGAAATCTTCAATTAAACTGATTTGTGATGTTCTTCACTCATAATGAATCATATCCAAAAGTCTACTCTTACTCCATTTACAAAGTTGAAAAAAATACATGCAATTCTAATTCAGTGACTCATATTATAGTCAGATAAACATGATGATTATACTCTTGCTTAAAGGAGTTCTATTAAGCTCTTTTACAAAGTCTTGATTTTGTTCTGGGGGTGTACTAGAACAGGCTCTCATACTAGGCTGTTCGAAAAACACATTATTTTTCACATATTTTACATTATTACAACACCTCTCTCCCCAGTCTGGCATGAACGGCTCGAATGGTTCTAGTGTTGGGTCGTTCTTGAACGATTCGTTCATTTTGAACAAATCTTTAATGTGACTCGGGAAGAACGAGTCGTCTCGGGGAGTGATTCGTTCAGTCGCGCATGCGCAACATCCTATAGGTTCTGTACTGGAATTAGTCAAGTAGTTCACCTGGTTCAAGTCTTCGGGTTTTTCCGAGTCGCTCGTTCATCACGTGACAGCTCCATACACTTAACCAATGCAGTCTGAGCCGGAAAGAGAATTGATTAGTTCATCTCTCGAGTCTTCGGGTTTTTCGAGTAGATCGTTCATCACGTGACAGACCCATAAGCTTACCCTATGCAGACTGAGCCTGAAAGAGACTTAATAATAATAACCAACTCTTTATTACCTTTGTTACAACATTCAGTGTTATGGAAAATAACCATCATGACAGAAATTCACACATTTAGAAACTGTAAGAAGTAAAAAGCTACAATTTGAGACCAGAAACGCATCACATAAATGTAAGAGTAAATAATAATTATAATAATGATGATAATAATAATAACTATGCACCCGTTTGTAAGGAAGCTTGTAAATTAACTAATTTCTCTATCTAATGCTGTCACGTCACGTGACAAAAGAACGAACGATTTGAAAGACTCGAGAGATGAACGAATCAATTCTTAATCAGAATGTGCTGCGTGGAAAAAAATCTGTCTTTATTAAAAACTGGTTTGACAAAGGTGTAATTTTTGTTTTATATTTGTTCAAAAAGGATGGTAACTTCTATTCCTATTCCGAATTTTCAGAAATCCATGAAAAAAGTGGATACTTCACCTACTGTATGAATGGGTTATTAATTCTATTTCACCTAAACTGTTACATTTGGTTAGGGCAAATTGTTACATATCTTCAAAATGTGAAATGCCCAAAATTTGTGTTGGAGGTCTGGAGCTTTCTAATGTTAAAAGTAACAATTTCTGGATTAGAAAAATCCTTATTAAGTTTAGTTGTCATCCTAAAGCATTTTATAAGCAGAAAATAAATTACCCTTTTCTTTCTACTATTAAAATATTAACAAGCTTCTGTTACCTAACAAGATGAAATAACTTCACAAAAAAATTATTCATATGTACTATCACTGTAATTCTTTACTCTCAAAATTTAAGTTGGACATCTCTTCACAATGCACATTCTGTCATTCTAATTTGGAAACAATATCACACTTATTTTTTGAATGTGAGTACGCAAAGGATTTTTGGAGAGAAATATCTTGGCTTGTTATTTCATTTTTATTATTCTTTATGTATTTATTGTTTTGTATTCTGGGTGTGTGTATTTTATTGCTATGACTGTATCCCCTGTGAACGTTATATCTTCAATAAAAAAAGAAAAAAAAAAGAACTAATCAATAATTTTTCCGGCTCAGACTGCATAGGGTAAGCTTAAGGGTCTGTCACGTGATGAACGAACGACTCAAACCCGAAGACTTGTCAGATGTGAGGTGAGCTAATCATAGACTGAAGACCCAGGTAAACAATG